GGTGAGAGGATTTACCAGAGCCAGAGCGGGGAGGAGAACAGGCAGACTGATGAAATGCTGAGGGGAGCAGCAGGCGTGGCAGGAGAGGTCTGCGCACCATGTGGTACCCTCGCTGGTGCCTGGGGATTGAACCCGCGCTGCAGAGGCTGCGGGCAGCTTCGCAGCCCAGCGCTCAACCACTGTGCCACCAGGGGAGGCCCTTTTCTGTATTTTTTAATGTTTATTTTTAAAACCCTTTTTTATTTCTTACATCGTTATTCATTTTTGGACAGCATTTGATTTCTCCCCTCAGGTATAGTGCCTGTAGTTCATTTTTAATGAACTTAAATGTCTACAGTTTTTAATGAGCTTCTAACTAGATTTGGAAGCACACTAAATGCAAAAATGAGATCTATGTCAGGAGTGGTGTTTGAAGGAGTTAGGTAAAGTAGGAGTAAACAATAATAAAGCTGGAAAATACATATCAAAGCATTATTATAAGGACAATTGTAACCTGAAAATAGAGTTTAGATTAATCTACTGATAATGGGAAGTTCTAGACAGAAAATGAGCACAAGCAGGTCCTTTTATTTTCAAAAGAAATGATCTGACAACAGTGGGCAGGATGGATGGGTATGAAGAAATTAGAACTATGCAGACTTGTTAGAATGTTTGGTGTCAAAGTGCACAATCTATGCTCCTTACCTCAAACGTGACTAAAACTTCATCATAAAAAGGAGAATTTGGAAATACCCGAGGTCATGGCACGTACAGAATGTGTTGTTTTGTTTAAAGGAAAGACTCGTTAGGTTAATGAACTACTTACTGTCACTTCCTAAAAATGTCTGCCGTTTAATACTATTAACCTGCAATCTATAGGAAAGTAGTGTTGACCTGTGGAAATAAGTTGATTTTTGTTTGAATCTGGATTTATTCTGCAAACACAATTGACCAGAAATAACTTTTGATTTTTCATTTCTTTAACAGACCCTCTCAAATCTCTTCAAATTTTTCTTAATTACCTCAAACTTGGCATATTTCTAAACAAATGTCAATTTCATTCTTTCTGAATGTTCTACCTATGTGAAGGTACCTCTGTGAAGTTTGAGAGAAACCATTTTTCTCTCTAGAGTAATCCAGTTCTACCAGTTAAAGTCCTTAGACTTTGCATTTATGAGGTTCCTTCTAAATAATATTGCCCAGGGCACAGTGTTACTCAATAAAGGAGGTAACTGTCACGGTTCCTGTTATCATACAAACACATGGAAATGTTTTGATTTGGTTAATTAAGATATTAATACTACTGCTAATAACTGTTAGTAATAACTACCATTTCCTTAGTACTTACTATGTTTTATAAACTATACTAAGTAAGCACATCACTAGCACCATTGTATTTAAACCTCGTAACAACACTTTGAGGCAGAAACTATTAGAGCTCCACTTTACAGGAAACTAGAACACTATGACCAATGTCACTCACCTGGTAAGTGACAAACACGAGATTGGCATTCAAGTCTGCTTATCTCAAGAAATGGCATTCTTAAAAAATAAAATTAAAAAATGGCATTCTTGATTACCATTCTCTGTCATCTTGGTTCATTTCAACTCTATCAAAATTCCTTTATTGATATATTACTATGATGATGAGTCATTACCATACTTCTTCCATTCTCTTGCTCTAAGACATCAAAGGTTTCTGTGATCCTGACTTCCAAAGTTCCAGGGATTAGAGATTTCCCTTGAGACTATTTTAGCCTATGAGCTATTCTCCATAAATATATGCAAATTTTAATCTCCTGTAAGTATACTAAATTGTATTATATATGTATCTTTTCTCTAGGAATAACCTTTGTCAAAAGAAAAAGTTTGCTTCCTCCTTCCTTTAAATCACTGCTGACCTGGAAAGTTCTGTAAGGGAACCATAGTCTACATTGATAAGATCTCAGAATTCAGAATGTTAGGAAACAAGATAGTAGATTTTAGATGACAGTCTTAGCCATAAAGATATTGAGCATCTACTTTTCCTCATCATATAAGCATTAGTAATAACTCATTAATAGTTTTCAAGTTTTGTCACATCTATTATCTTAGTTAATCTTCATAAAAACAAAGTGAACAAGATAGAAATTATCTCAATCTTTACATGGAAATTAACACTAGGAGCAGTTGAGTGATTTGGTCAAGGTCTCATGGCTAATTCTCTCACCCTTTCTCTAGTGTTCATCTAGCCTCTTTAGTATTTTAGCACAGTGGAATTTTTTACTTAAAATATGATAAACTATTCACACAATGAGAAATAGTAACAATAGATGTCATTCATGAATCAGAACCCAAATTAAGTACTGTATATATCACATGTATGACTATCCAAAAAACCCTCACTCATGAGATATTTTCAGCTGGGAAGTATGAGAGCTCAAATTTAAAATCAGATGTGTTTGTCGCCAAAGCCCGTGGTCTTTCCACTGAACAAAAAGAATAAATGAATGTGAGATAAACTGTTCCTAGTTCCTAATAAATGTCAATTAAAGCAAGTTTGAATCTTCAGTTTAATATAATAATAAAAAAGCACATCAAACTGATGATATTTTATTCATCTATTCTGGGATTAAAAACTGCCATACTGGGCCTCCCCGGTGGCGCAGCGGTTGAGCGCTGGGTTGCGAAGCTGCCCGCGGCTCTGCGGCGCGGTTCGATCCCCGGCTGCTCCCCGGCCACCGGAGGAGGATCCCACATGGTGCGCAGACCTCTCCTGCCACCCGCTGCTCCCCTCAGCAGTGTACTTCAGTCCTTCTGCCTGCTCTGCTCCCGCTCTGGCTCTGGTGAATTCTCTCACCCTCCCGCGCTTCTGACTGTACCCAGTGCATGTATAAACAAAACAAACAAATATAATAAATAAATAAATAAAAACATGCCTCTATAAAAAAAAAAAAAAAAAAAAAAAAAAAAAAAACTGCCATACTTTGGGAAAAGAGTTTGATTATGCTTAGCAAAACTCAATTATTCCACTTTCAATAATGTCTCCTGGAGAAATCACTCATCAGGAACCAGGCAATATACATGAAGAAGGCCATGGTAGCATAATATATAATTAAAAAATTGGAAACTGGGGGCCTCCCCAGTGGCGCAGCGGTTGAGCTCTGGGTTGCAAAGCTGCCTGCAGCTTCTGCATCGCCGGTTCAATCCCCGGCTGCTCCCCGGCCACCGGAGGAGGGTCCCACATGGCGCGCAGACCTCTCCTGCCGCCCACTGCTCCCCTCAGCAGTGTACTTCGGTCCTTCTGCCTGTTCTACTCTCTGCTCTGGCTCTGGTGAATTCTCTCACCCTCTCGTGCTTCTGACTGTACCCAGTGCTTGTATAAATAAATAAAAATAAATCTTTAAAAATAAATAAATAAATAAAATAAATAAAAAATAATAAAAATTGGAAACTACTAAGTTTTTCAGAATGATATTACTATTACAATCATGACATAATAAAATGTGATTACAGAAAAGCTATGTAGAAGTAAGAAAATATATGAATCTTGGTTTAAAATAGTATAACCTAAAATTTTGTGTACTGGTTAACCACCTGAAAAAATAAGACTAAATCAAGTTGGATCCCTAATTCTCAATTTAAAACAAAACAATTCCAGATGATTCAAAAAATTAAAAATAAAAAGTTAAACAATTAAAATAGTAAGGAAATGTCTTTCTAAGCATAACACAAAATCCAGAAGCCATGAAATGGAAAACAAATTTTGCCACCTAAATATTTTTTGAATTCTATATAGTGAAAAAATACTATTAAAAAGTCAAAAGAAAATTACACACTGGGAAAATGGATATATGCCACATACACAACAAAGGTCTCATTTCCTTAATACATAAAGAGCTTAGATAAATCAAGAAGAAAATGACCAACCAATAGAAACATTGGCATTGGGGAAAGACATAGGAAATTCACGCAACAGAATAAAAATACATGACAATTAAGCAAATGTAAAAATGGTCAAACTCACTCAATATTTGAAAATGACAAGTCAAAACTCTACTGAGGTACCATTTCTCAACAATACTGCTTAAGATTCTTTAAATGTTTGATAATATACGACATTGGTAAAATATACAGAATCACACACTCACACATATTGTTGTGAAAATCTAAATTGGTACAATTTCTATAGAGGAAGATTTAGCAATTATGTCTTCTTCCTTGTAGCAACAAACCTATCCTACGGATCTCTTTGCATATATGTGTAAAGAAGTATTTATAAAGATATTCATTACAGCTTGTTTATAACAAAAAATTGAAAAGCCTAAGTATTCATTTATATAGAAGTGTTAAGATTCATTCTTTTTATGACAGAATAATATATCACTGTGTATGTATCATATTTGCTTTGTCTATTCATCCATTAATAGTTAGATTTTTCCCAAAATTTGTTTATTATAATTATGTTGCAATAAACATGGGGGTTCAGACAGTTTTTTGTTAGTGTTTTTATTTTCTTCAAATAAATACCATAGAGGGGAATGTTAAACAAGATATTCATATAGTGGAATGTTATGCAACTGTTAAAGAGAACAAAGAAGTGTTATGTGTTGGAATATGAAAAAATTTCCAAGACAATTGTTAACATATACATGGTATTGATACCTCTGGTTTCTGGTCTAGCATGTAGAGAGCTTGAAAGTTTTCACTTCATCTTAACAATATGTAAAAAACTGAACAAACAGAAAAACCAATAACTTTTCTTATATCAGTCAGAGAAGTAAGGGCACATCACTGCTCCACCGTTCTCCAATCGGACAAGCAGACAGAGAGAATCAAAAGTTACTGGAATAGAAACCCATGAGTAGAAACTCCCACAGCAACCACTACCAGGATTAGGAAAACCTGAACTGCAACTGACAGATTGTCAGAGGCTTAGTGTAAACACATCTAAAAGCTAAAAACTCCAAAAAAGGTGTGGTCATACAAAGGTTCCCACATTTTTGTAAATTTTACCTCTAAAAGCTCTACCTGGTTCTCACCTGTGAATATCAGAGAAAAATCCTCTTGTGCTTCCTGTAGGAAGAGGGAAAAGATAACCATTATTAAACATACCAGAGCATTTTTTCTTTTTCTTTTTTCATTTTGTTCTTTTTAACAAAGACTTCACTCAGGAAAAACTATTTTAACAGACACTAACCCCGACCAAGAGGAAGGAAAATACACAAGTTCAGCCCTAGCTAGCTATCCTGTCCCAATCTATAGAGAATATAAGCCTGGGAAAAATAAAGGTCACAGTCTAGGATGAATGGCTCACTAAAACCTGAAACCTATTCATGCATCTATAGAAAGCATCATCTCCTCTACATAACTTACCATTACATCACTCAAGGTCTATTTACTAGACTTCCTTTTGCACAATGTATTATATCTAGCTTTCAACAAAAAGTTACAAGGCATACTAAAATGCACAAAACCCCACTTGAAGAGACAGAGCAAGTATCAGAATTAGACTTAGATATGGCAAGGATGTTAGAAAGATTTGCTTTAAAGATTAAAATGATTATGATTATTATTCTAAGGATTCAGGAGGAAAATAGACAACATCTAAGTACAGATGGGTGATATAAGCAGAAAGAAATTCTAAAAAAAAAAAAAGAAAGAAATGCTAGAGATCAAAATACTGTAACAAAAATGAAGAATCATTGAGAAGGGCTCATTACTAGAGTAGACACAGCTGAGGAAAGAATTTGAGCTTAGGAATATGTCAACAGAAACTTCCAAAATGGAAAAATAGAAGAAAGGACAGGAAGAAACACAACATAATATCCAGGAGCAGTCAAATAACTACAAAAGGAGTCAATGTGTATAATAGGAATATGAGAAGGAGAAGAGAGAGAAGTGGACAGAAGAAATATTTGAAGCAGTAGGGACTGAGAATTTCCCATAAATTAATGTCAGACATCAAACCTTAGAGCCAGGAAGCTCAGAGAACATTGAGCAGGATAAGTGCATAAAAACCCAAAATAAAAAATAAATAAATAAATAGCCCCACAAACCCAAACTCTGTATCAAGGCATAAAATGTTCAAACATTAGCAAATAAAGAAAAAAAATTGAAAGTAGTCAGTGGGAGAACTAATTTACCTATAGAGAAACAAAGAATATAATTATATCTGATTTCTCCTTCTCCTTAGAACCATACAAACAAGAAGAAAGTGGACTAAAATATTTAAAGTATTGAGAGAAAAAAAACCACCAACCTAGACTTCTGTATCCTGTGAAATTACCTTCAAAACTGGAGAAGTAAGTACTTTCTTACTCTGAGGAGACAAAAAAAAACAAAATTTGAGGAAATTTATTGCCAGTAAACCCGCCTTGTAACAAGAAATGTTGAAAAAGAATAACTATAATAAAGAAAAAATCAAAATCAACAAGCAACTATAAACCAGAGACACACTATGGGGGGAGGGGAGGTAGAGAGAGGAGGGATTGGGGTCAAAATAAGGGGGGTGCAATTGTATGGGGAATATAACCAAGATGAAAATGCATACATTGTGCAGAAATGAAAAATGATGTAAGAAATATAAAAATAAAAAAGACAGTCTTCAGAGAAAAGGAAAATGATATGTAAGAAACTTAAATCCATGTAAAGAAAGAGGCTGAAGAAAGAATACATGAAGGTAATATTTCGTACTTTTATTTTTCATATTCTTAGTTGATCTAATATAAATTTTGAAAGTAAAAATAGTAACAATGTATTTGATTATGTTGCTTATGTATAAGTGAAATGAAAGCCAGCAATGATATAAGGGATGGGAGGAAAGAATTAGAATTACAAGGTACTTCACTACCCATGAAATGGTATAATATTTGAAACTGGTCTTGGATAAGGTGTCAAGCGTATATTGCAAACTCTATGGCAAGCACTAAAAATATATAGTAGAGAAAGAAGTATAATTGGTATGTTAAGAAAAGAGGGAAAATGAAATAATACAAAATGCTCAATTAAAACAATAAAGCCCAAAAAACAGAAGGGTATCAGTAGAAAACAATAACAAATATGGCAGATATTAACCCAATAATATTAATAATACACCATATTATTCATCTACTTGAACTGCACAATTCAATATTTTGGTATATGTTATAGTATTCATTTTTTCTATTTTGGTAAAAATATATGTAACATGAAGCTTGCCATTTAAAAGATACATGATGCAGAAAAATACATGTATGATACTATAATTATGTAAAAAGTAGGTATTTATAAAGAATGCATTTTAAAGAATAGGATGTTTCTAAAAGAAATTGCAAAAATAATTGGTATTTGGGAATAATGGACAAAGAATGCAAGGGAAAAACAATCACATATTCTGTAATACTTTCATGGTTTACCATGCTAATATATAACCTATTCCAAAAAACCCAAAAAATTAGAAAAACTAATTTCTCAAGTGTATTAAATACATTTTTCACTATACTCCCTTTTCACACTAATGCCAAAATCACTAATCACTTGGGTACCATTTCCCACTGAGAACCCTGATGAATCTTCAGAATCTTTCTCAACAATGTTCTGGGCTTTCACTACCGCTAAACCAGAGCAATCCCCAGTGAAAAATATGATTATGTAAAGAGATGTACACACTGAAAATATATTACATTAGATATCTCTACATACATACAATATTTCCCAGGCAACTTGTTTATTACATTAAATAATGTGCTTTTTAAAGGGCACTTTTCCAGAAAACATTAAAACAAAGATGAATAAATATGCTAAATATGAACCATGTTGCTACAATTTCTGATTGTATGTTTACAGTTCTCTGCCAGATTAAGGACAAGAAAAACAGCATTTAAGGACTTATATACTTACCCATATGTGGAATATTCCAAAGTATGTACCATTTCAACATATTCTGGCAGGTTATCTAAAAATGCTGTAACATTTTAAAAGCAGTTTGACTGCCAAGTCTCACAGTGTGGGATCCAGATGTGGAAGGTATTTGGAAGCATGTATTTTCTTCTAGGCAAATCCAGGATCAGTCCACGTGAAAGAATTTCAGCCTCCTCACCCCTGGAGTATAGGTTAGTAACCGTGACTGGTACGCATTGTTGGTGAACTCTGGAACAAGAATGATCCTATCTTACATTTGCCACTAGCTAATAACTTGTAGAGAGCCTTTCTTGGCAAAAAGTCATTTTCAATCTAAGTGAAATGCTCAAGTCCATGGCATTTCTTTATCAAAGCCAGTAGCGATTGTAGTTTTGCAACCTTCAACACGCATGCGCATGTCCACGTGTCCAAGCACACACACACACACACACACACAAACACACATACACACACACACACCATTGCTCTACCCCATCCTCCCTTTTAAAAATGAAAGAAGGAACACTTTCTCAGGTGTCACAGGCTAAATTTGAAATTTCCTTGACATGAGTTTTCAGTCTAAATTGACAGTATTATACCGAGAATGAAAAGCCCCATAATGTAGTTCAACAGTAAGTGTTGTCTTACACAAATTTCCTTTATGTGGACTTCAGTTTTCTTATGTGCAAAATGGAATAGTTTCGTTGGCAACCTCTTTTGATCCTGTCTAGCGCAGATCACTGAGATAAAAATACCTTTACATGAATAGGAGCAATATTGAACTCTGGTTAATAATGAATATACTTTGATGTAGGCATGCAAGGGCTACACTGATTCATCTTTCAATGCCAAGATTCTATCAGCACTCTGGGTATCAGTTTTATAAACTAATATATCTGCATTTTTTTGAACACTAAAAAAGAACAACTCCTTGGTGTTAAATATTTTGTCTTTGCTCTATTGGACAAACCATGAACAGAATCTGAGGTGTTTAACAGTGGTAATCACTGAAACTATATCCATATATTCCTAATAAATGCAAACAGCTTTACCATGAGATAATCCTAAAATTTCATCTGGATCAGGATTTATACAGTCACCTTTAGTCTCTTTCAGAATAGATCAATGCCAGCTGCCCCAAGGCCACCTATACGAAGAAAATAATATAAAATAGTGTAGAGAGCAAAGTATCTGATGGGATCAAAATCCTGTGTATTATGGGAGGTGATAGATTGATGTTAAAGGAAGAAAGATGAGGTTCAGATTCCAGATCTAACTCATTAGATATATCATCCTTGACGAGGTATATAACCCCTCAATGTTTCAATGTTCTCATTAATTCAACTGGGATAATAATACCTCATTTTTTAAAAACATGAATGTTTATTATTTCTTTTTTGAAAAGCTGCCATACTGTTATTTTACAATTATCTAACTATCCTTTAAAGGTTTTTAAATTAATACCTCATTTTTAAAGCTAATATTCCTGCAACACTGAAAGCACTCAAAAAATAGTAACTATTACAACAGTGTCTCCCCCTAGATTCTATACCATATATCTTGTCCAACATTAACTAGTTTTCTGATTCTATATAGGCCCTTTTCCCTTCCCTTCCCTCCATTTGTTTATCTTTTGAAGAGTTTAGCTAATTTTGTTGCCCATTTGTTAGGTTTTTTTTTTTGTCTGCTTATAAATGCATGACAAGAGGTCTTTATTCTTGTAATTTTTGCTAATATCTTTTTAACAGATTTATTGAGATGAAATTCACATACTACACAACTCTGTTGTTTTTAGTATATTCAGATACTTGCAATCATGTTAGTCTTGGTGTAGGTTGACAGGTAAGAATAATGACATATTTTTTCCTAACAGTCTTTGTGTTTAATCTTCAGGGTTTTCAACCTATAAGATCATGTCATCTGTGAACAGAGATAATTTTACTTCTTCCTTTCTAATTTGAATACCTTTAATTTCTTTTTCTTGTGCTAACTAGAATTCTGCTGGAAAGAAGTTGTGGAAGTGAATGAACATTCTTGCCTTGTTCCTGATATTACAGGTAAAACTTTCAGTCTTTCACCATTGAGAATGATAGTTGCGGGCGTGTGTGTGTATGTGTGTGTGTGTGATTTTTTACATTGAGATATTTTCCCTCTGTTCCTAGTTTTCGTGGAGGTTTTTATTTTTAATTATGAAAGGATGTTGAATTTTGTCAAATGCTATTTCTGCATCAGTTGACAGGGGCATGTTTTTTTTTTTTTTATTCTGCTCATGTGGTATGGTGCAATGATTATTTTATATTGAGCAATCCTTGCATTCTAGGAACATGTATCACTTTATTGTGGTATATAATCCTTTAAATGTGCTGTTGAATTAGGTTTGCTGTTGTTGAGGATTTTTTGCACCAATATTCATAAGGGATGTTGATCAGTACTTTTCTTGTGATATCTTTGGCTTTGGTATCAAGATCATACTGTTCTCACAGAATGAGTTAGGAAGTGTTTCCTCCTCTTCAAATTTTGGAAAATTTTAGAAAGACTGGCATTAATTTATTTTACATATTTGGTAAATTTACTAATCCAGGGTTTTTCATTTGAGATGTTTCTGATTTTTTATTTACTTATATATGTATTTATATATATAGTTTTCTTCAATATTAATAGGTGCATTTCATCTAGGTTATCCAACTTGTCTGCCTGCATTTGATTACAGTACTCTCTAATAATTATTATTTCTAAAAAACATAGTGACATTTTTATTTTTATTTCTGATATTATTTGAGTCTTTGCTTTTATTCTTTCTCATTTTAACAAAATTTTGTCCATCTTGTTGGTCTTTTCAAAAATCCAACCCTTGTTTTTATTTCCTCAATTGTTTTTCTATTCACTATTACCTCTGCTCTAAGTTTTATTATTTTCATAATTCTGTTATTTTGGGGTTTAGTATTTTCTCCTTTTTCTAATTCCTCAAGGTGTAAATTTAGATTACTGATTTGAGATCTTTCTCCTTTTTAATGTTAGCATTTACAGTCATAAATTTTCTACTGAATACTGAGTCACATGAGTTTTGGTATGTTGATATTTGGAGTTTTCATTTTTCTCAATATATTTTCTAATGTCCCTTGTAATTTCACTGCTTGTTTAGGAGATAAATTATTTTTCAAATGAAATATCAAACTAGAATTCCTGGGATAATTTCACTTGACCACTTATGCATTATCCTTGCATATATCTAGATTCTATGTGATTATATTTTCTAAGAATTTTTGCAATTTATATTCAAGATATGTATTGTTCTGATGTTTTGTTTCTTCTCTTTTTGGGTTGTTTTTATACCTTTTCAATTGAGATGTAATCTACATACAGTAAAGTGCACATATTTAAATTACACAAATTGTTACATATTCATATATGCATATATTTGCAAATCCATCATCAAAATCA